CCCCAAAACCCCAAAACCCCAAAACCCCAAAACCCCTTGATATAATATTTTTACTGAAAATATTATTCCTTTCCAATTTGTTCAGTTAGTGTTTTTGCAGTGTTCCAATATTCTGAGTGAGCACTAGCAGCATTTTTGATGGACTCTATTGCTTCTGGAAGAATATCTTCTATCTTTGAATCCTCAAGATGGATTGCTTTCTCATAACCCATAAGAGCTTGAACACAAAGAGTAGAGCAATTAACAATTGTGTACTTGTTGTATCCTCCTTCGAGTAGTAACATGATTTTTGGGCAAAGCTTTTGTAAATTTTGGCATGCCCAATAATAAAATTCATGTTCAACTTGTTGCTGTCCAAGAGGATCACCTTTAGCAGAATCGAATCCTGCACTGAGGATGATGAATTCAGGAGCATATTCTTCAATTATGCCAAACAAAAGATTTTCGAACAGATACTTGTACTCTTTGGTACCCACACTACTTGGTTCTAATATAGTCTTGGTGGTATTCCAAGGGATATTTAAATTGAATCCTTTTGCGTTCTCTCCACCGGTAAAAGTATAGTTTGATGTCTCTTTAGAAGGGAAATATATCCCATTCTCCCATCTATGCATAGACATATAGAACACTTCAGGATCATTATAAAAGATTTCTTGAGTTCCGTCTCCATGATGTACGTCCCAGTCTAGGATTAAGATTTTCTTAAGGCCAAACAACTCTTTAGCATATGTGGCAGCAACAGCTGCATTGTTGAAAAAGCAATATCCATCTGTCTCTGAGACACAAGAATGATGACCAGGAGGTCTTACTAATGCAAATGCTGATTTTACAGTGGATGTAGATGAAAGTACATCTTTCATCGCTTGGTATGCTCCTCCAGCCGCAATTCTTGCCGCTTCTGTGGTATGTTTGTTTTCATAATTGTCTTCTCCAAATACAGATGTAATAATGTTTTCATCGTATTCCTCAAAACTGAGAACCTTATCTATCAAGCTCTGTGAATGGATCTTAGCTAAATATTCAACTGGGATCAACTCGAATGTTGGCTGTGTAAGCATCTTCGATTTAAGAATCTATCAAGTAACAAAGATAATTTACATTTTCATTTTTGAGGTTAGTATAAATTAACTCACACCTTTCCCTAAGTTCCTCTTTGTTGTTTGGATGAAGTTTCACTCTTTCATTGTAGTACAATGCTAGTTCATGTTTAGCCTTTTCCTCTAAACAACAATGTTATGAGACAGGAAGAGAAGTAAAAACCAAGTACCTTCTACAGATAATTCTTCTGGTTTCTTAGTTTCATCCTGAGATTCCTGTTGAGTAGTTTCCATATTCAAGCAAATCTTAATTGTAGTAAGATCCAACCCACTAATTCTTTAAGGGGTTTTGGGGTTTTGGGGTTTTGGGGTTTTGGGG